TAGTGCCCGATTTAAATCACGTTACTACTGAAGATGTCTACCAGCTCCGAGGAATTATTACATTTTTGAACTATGAAAGTCTTTAAGGAATCCTGTTCTACTGGCATTGTAGAATGCATTAATTTGTGCACTTATTGATTTCTCATTCGTCACCAAAATTACATAAAGGCAAATTATGTGTTTGCTAATAATTACGGTAAGGTTAAGGACATTCGAGATACTATAAATAGGTACAAACGCAACCATCCTTTACTTAGTCCGCAATTACGTACACACGCTATTTACCGTCCGCCCCTGCTTACGAAGACTTGTCGGCAAATAAAGATGTCCGTATTGAAAATGTTGATACCAGGTTGTGCTGGTCGAAAACTTGACAGAATTACATCTCACACCCATTAAAACACTTACCACCGGTTTCATTTTGTTTACAGCTCTTGGTTTGTTTATTTGCCTACCTCGCAGTGAGCATTACTGAAACTAGCACTAATGAATGAACGAATCCAAATGTCCTCTATCAGAGTGTTAATATTGTTTTATTCTAGTATGGAACCAAGTGCTATCATTTTGGCTTCCCTTTCATTTAAGTCTATTTCCTTTAAAGTAGCTCTCACCTATGCGCAAAATCCACGTTTAAACGGGGATTTTGGAGAGTCATGCGCAATGCTAGTTAGCGAGAGTACCAACTACACGAGCTCTTCAGTCTTTACAAATTTCGGCCACCATCCTGGTTTCATGACATTTCCTTCTCCTCCTCTATACTCTTAGCAAGGTCTTATTCAGACCTACAGCTTATCCCGTCTTCAGGGGGGATCAGGGCGTTAATTCTTGTCAAGACCACTTTTAGGAAGGACGCTCTCTTCCCATTAGTGAAGCGTGAGGCACAGCTCAAACAAATGTAATTATTTACGTTTGAGACACCATAATATTTACTCGTTTGCAGCTTTTTCTACCATAGTCATGGAGAAAATAGACCACCATCAGAGCCCACATCTAATTTTACTATTGAATCAATTATTTTCCTCATTTTTTTCTTTCAACATAATTGGTTTCTTTCGACTTAATGCACCATTTAAATCTGATGCTCAAGCTAGCTTGCAATATAGTGTGACTAGCTGTAAAAGCATTAAAACAGGTTGCTTGAAGCTGGGAAAATGCCTAAAAAGGAGGCGAAAATTCCGCCGAAGTAATCATTAGATTTATCCTAAGAATAAACATCTTGTACATATCAGGTTGTGAGGTCGATGTTACGATTTATTAAACGAGAAAGAATTTCATTATAGGTGTAGAAAAAAATGGTTTGTCCAAATGTTAGATAAGAGCACTACTCTAAAGCGCAGTCTTGATTCTGCTGACGGGCCTTTAATCACTCAGTTCATCAGAAGTACTCTGCTAAATTATAGTATGGTAGACCCTCCCACAGGTCAAATGGAAATTTTTATCCATTTCATGATTTTATCCAATTTAACTTTAGCATTTTTCTGATATGCATTATTTACTTACTCTCTTGTTGTAGGGTTATGGGCCGTTTAGGTCAGATAAAACATATTTTTTAGTGTAGAGCTGCAGTAGATTTTGGCTTCCGAACTTTTAAATTGTACACCTGCTCAAGATATTTAAGGAAAGTTCGAACAATTTCTTGTATCGTAATTTGCTTAGGTCCACACAAATCTTTATTAGCAGTAAAATTTTACATTTAATTTAAGGAGACTAAGTTATTAGACATAATTTCTCTTGATAATAAGGTGCTATTTTATCCTGTTTTCAACTAATTTTCTAGTTGAGCCTGTGCATGATGTTCATGCCATTTCAAAACCACTTTTCCCAACTACTTCAAGCTGTACATTGCCTTTACGAAAATTTAGTAGAAACAACAATCCACTGATCTGTCATCATTTTTTAGTCCACTTTAGGGGAATATAAAGCATAATCCCATTTTTATTTAAAGCTCTGTTATCTCAAAAAGTAATGGCTTTTTCATTAGAGGTTTAGTAATACCCAGTGGTGTCAGGGCTCTCCAAGGTGTAGATCCACTGCATACGCAAGCACAGACCAAGGAGAGGTACATCTTCACCTAAATTAATAAAAACTTATTTCATGTGTTCCACGGACATTCAAAGTGCGGACTGGAATCTTCTATACTTTTCTCTCAGAACATTTAGGTATAGGAAAAATAAAGGAGAATTTGGTAGTAATTAGCAAAAGATTGAGAGGTGGACTGCACGTTTCTCTGCTTTGTTTCAAATTTGATACTAATACAAAAAATTTTCAACTGATTTAGAATTTCTTGCTTTAAAATAAATTGAGAATCGGAGTTAAGTCTTACATTAAACCAAGGGTCCTGACAAATATGCTTCAGTTAGATTAGCTTGAATTCAATTTTGAAACTGTGATTCATTGCCCAAATGCGCATTTGTCTACCGGTTCGTCTGCTTTTAAACACCTATTTCAGAGGTATATCTTGTAAACTCTAACCGAGATAAGAGAGCAAATCAGGGAAATGGAAACTCAACCACCTTAGTAGTAAGTAGATACCAAGACACTAAGCTGCATTTCTTCACCGTCGGTGAAACTGATGACTGCTTCATCAGCAAAAAAGTATGCATGGATCAAAGCAATAATTTGTCAGTAGGAAGGAAAGTATTGCTGAGTGGTTATTTTTAACTTTTTAGGGATCGAAAGCAAACGCGTCACTCTACTTTAATTATAAATAGCGCACATTTCGATAAAATATTGGAGCATAGTAGCTTAACAAATCAACTTTACACTTAAAACTTAAAAGAATGTGTCCTTAAGGGCATCATATTCTTCATTTATGCAGTCTTTGATAACTTTAAATTTGTATGGAACAAAATTCTTCCTCTATGAGTTTTTAAAGACCGGGGAGAAGTTTGTCTCTCAAATTTGTGCTGTAGCTTAGAACAGGTTATTAAACAATCCAATTGGCATTTTTTGAAATATCTCTTGATGAAGTCAGTATATTTCTGAGGAAAAATGAGATTGACAAATAATGTTGATGCTGCATTTTATTCTACAGGTAGTAATCTATTCACCATGGTTCACTATTATAGTACTTTTATCTTTTCGAGAATGCACCTACAAAACAATAATGACGTATGGGTTCAAATTAAATGAGAAGAACTTCGGAGCTGATATGAAAAGTTAACGCTACCTGATTTACAATCCCATCAATTTATTGTTTCTCCGAAAAATTTGTTTGGTTTCCCAAGTGGCTTGCTTAGATTGATTTGGTTTGATCTGCCTAAATGAATTTGCCTTCCGTAGTAGCTATTTCTTAAATTTGGCTCCTATTTACTTCTTAACTTAGATCCTTATTTAAAAAGCGCATTTGCAAATGGGAACTGTTTGTCCGAAATTCACCCTTAAACTTAAAATTATACAAATATAAACATGGATTATTTTAGAATTTGCACAATTCTAATACCTTGCACACCATACTGATTTCGGATTTGCATTCCGTTATGATCTGGTATACTTGGCATAAAACCATCATCGATACTTAATTTTGTTTTTAGCACCCCCAGACTTTCTTGAAGATAAAAGACATAATACTAGGATGGACAATGTATAAGCGATGTACAGAAGGACTAATGAGTTACTAACATGGCCTGGGTGCAATGCCGCATAGTGGAAATTCAAAACTAAAGCCCTAAGCGTCCTTTGATGGATAGAGGTAAAGATCCATGGAAGTTAGCAACAATACCACAGCGTCGCTACTGCACTTAGTCGGTCGTTAAAACGGCCATCATGTATCCCATCTCGGCACATGTCAGTAAAGTCTGCTCCTGGATCCGTAGTGGGTGTCTAACCAGCCTTAAAAAGTATTCTGTCTAAAAGAGACCAGGATATGTTGTCTAAAGCGAAGGAATGCAGTCGAGGGCATTCGTTTTTTAGCGAAGAGGGCAACTAACATGCCATTAGTTTCGTCCACAATTGGATATTCACATGCAGCTCCACATTGACGTCATTTGCATCATTAGGGCCTAAACTGAAAGCTCATTTTTAGTGGCAACAAAATTACGAAAAGTTCATGTTTTAGTAGCGTTTTTAAGCATGCACTATTTACAAGGTGGCTTCTTCCTTTGTATTTTTCAAATGCTGCGTGTTCAATCAACTTTGAGAGTGGTATTTTTCAATGATCTTAGTAGTTTTGAGGGCATCAGCTTCAGCATCAGGCATTGACTACGTTGCATTTTTCAATATCTCAGATTTATACTAACTCTTATTTGTCTATGTTGACGGCCTTTTTTGAATTAAAGGACAATTCTCGTAAATTTCATTAAGTTATCCCTATCACTTAAATGACTGCATCATAAAAACTCAAAAATCTCATCTCACATTATGGCTAAACTTATACGCATCTTTAAATATAGTTTTAATTAACTGAAAATTTTGACAAAAAAGGCGAGGTTCTACCTTATTTTCTCATAAATGTATGATGGAATCTGCCTAAGTATTACTACTAAAGAGGAAATAATAAAGATGTATTTTTCCAAATTTTGAATAGCTGTTGCTCAGTATTATCAGAAATCTATGTTTTTTTTTCTGTTTGTTTAGCCCGGTTATATGAGCAAATTTTTGCTAACCTACACCTACACTCGCTGCCAGATATACTTTGAGATTTATGGGAAGTTGCACCTAAGTATACAAAAGCTGCAACCAGTCAATTACGTATCATTATATCATGATCCTTTTAAAAATTTAGCCCAGTTTCAAAACATGAATCTGGTTTTATCATCAAGAACCCCGGTGCATACAAAAAGGGCACAAGTGTAGCCAATCATCCATTGTTAGCCTTCATCCTCACAGCCAATCAGCGAGCTGGTGATGACGCATCGCGGTTTCGATGGCGACGAAAGCCAACTCCTCGTTTTCCACATGCCATTTCTCGCAGACGCATACACATACCACCCACTCATACTTTAGGGCTCAGCTATCTGACGAATTCGAGATTCCTACATGGGACCATTCTCTCGACAGGCATGACCACCTCTGCTGACATACAACAGGCGATAATGGCGAATCGGTTAAAAGCCATCGTCATGGGCTATATGGGAGGCCCAGTATGCGTCGTTGGAATCGTTACAAGTGCCCTTAGTCTCATTCTTTTTAAGCGTGATACCTCAACAACACTTAGCACTCGTCTCCTCCTCTCAGCCATCGCAGTGGTGGATATATTCTTCCTCTTTTTTATGTTCCTTCTATGGTGTGTCAGACGATTTCTTCCTCAAGAATCATTGGCATTCCGACAGTTTGACAGTCCTCAAGTCTTTGGATTCATTTTCTACATGATAAACGTCTTTGAGCTCTATCGCAATTGGTTGGTTGTAGTAATCGCCGTAGAGCGACTCCTCTACTTTCTCAAACCCATCGAATTCAAGGTATTGTGGAGTGTTAAAAAAGTTGCAGCCATTCTCATCTCACTTTGCCTCTTCTCTTGCATCATCCGCATTCCCGTACTCATCTATGGGATCGCTAAAAAGTCCTCTAAAATCGATGACTCTATCACTAAACTAACCCGATTGATCCATTCTCTTATAGACTGTGTTGTGCTAACTCTAGCACCAGTCACACTCATGGTCACTTTATCTGTAGCCACTACATTGCGAATTAACGCAGTGGTAAAGACCAAACTGCGTCTGGTGAATAGCAATTTCAATCAACAGCATCAGATATCACAATCGCCTCAACAACTGCTTCAACCACACGACCACCTGAATTCCACCCCAAGACAAGAAGATGCTCCTTCACGGAGACACCATCGTATCGTAAAGATTCTACACACCGTCCTAATTACCTTCATAATCTGTTCCACACCTTCCATTCCTGCTTCAGTTATGCACTTCTACACTGTCTTTCATGAGGTAGAGGGTGGACGAATAAACTACGTCTCGGAGGTGCTGACCGTGATTGCCAATTTTGGTTCTCTGGTCAATTCAACTTCCAATTTCTTCGTCTATGTGGCGCACAGCAAACGCTACCGCTACATACTAGCCAAAATCCTCATGCTTGATCGGTGCTTCGCCTCGCTACACCGGGAGCCGAGTAGTACGCAGGAGACTTGTTGCAACCTTCAAGAGGATGGAAAAACCCAGTGAGAGGCTGTGCGCGTGCAGGTGCCAGAGTGGGCCAACGTTTGGCCGTCCCTGTCTCCATTTCCCCTGTGCCAACAAACGAGCACAGGGACATACTCACGCAAGTATTATGTAAATATTTGTGTACTATTTCAATTTTCTTCTTCTTTTTTGCTTTTACTCCCTTCTTCTCCTCTTTTGCAAGTATAAAATTAGGTTTTTCCGCGCGTATGTGTGTGGGTATGCGCGGTAGATGAAAAACATGAGTTGCACTTATGTATGTATGTGTTAACTTATAAATCAAATTTTTAATAAATTTTTTTAAAAAACAAAGATAATTTGTATGGCAAAGAGTTTTTTGCTTTATCAGGATTCGAAGACTTTTGTCTCTTTTATCTTCTAAACAGCATGGCCTACAATTCGTCGTTAAGAAAAGAGTACACCTGGGAATAGCAAAGAATGGTCATATGCAGGGACAGCAAATTCAGACAACATGAGATCGTAAAAAACATGGCTTCATTACTACAGTGCTCATAATTACTTTATTAAATGAAATTACATCGTCAGCTCTCTAACCTTCATCCATTCACGACTTGAGTGAAGACTAGAAGATACGGTGGGATGCGAAATTCGAAGAATCGATGACCAGTCAAAAGGTGCAGTGTATAAATGAGAGACCGTGAAAGTAGTTAATATTTTATCTCCTCAAGCATTTATAAGAGTGATTTTACTCATAAAGCAACTTGAAATATTTAATGGAGAAAAATATTGGAGTTTTTTAAATACGGAAAGTTTTGCTGAATGGTCCACTTGGGTGATTTATAGAAATCATCATACTTATTTCAGGACCAAGAATTTACGACTATTGCATTTTGTTAAGCCCCCTCTAAAACTCCGATAACTAATCACTAACTATTGGTAGGATGTTAGATCATCTTTTAGCTTGTCCTCAGACTAATATTTTGGAACTTATAGGTGAAGAATTGAAATGTATTTGCGCATTTATTGATTGTTGCGTTTATAAAAATTAGGATTTATTAAAACGTTGGTGTAAATCTTACTATAAAGTGGATTTTAATAAAAATGTGGACGGCACTTTTTAATGTAGCGTAATTTGCGGTGACTCGGTGCTTTAGAATTGGTACTGAATATCGCAGTCCTCACTGGACATCCTGTGTACAGGCGCAATGTACTAAACCAGTCATTTATGTTATGCCTTTAACAAGAGAGCATGAAACCGTTTGAGTAATATAGCGTGACTTATACTTGATAGCAAGTATGAAACTGTTCTTTATCGACATTTCCATCATTTGTGACACACGCTGAAGTGCTATTGATACAGATGTCAAATATGAACATTTTAACTAGTAGTTCTACCGGTTTTCCCGTTATTGGAAACGGTACTGGTCTGGTACTGGTTCTTCTTCGCTTTTCATCTAAGCGAAAATTGCGATATAACACTGTAAGTAATGTTGTACTCATCCATTTTGAGCTTTATTGATAGACTTTGAGGTAAAAAGCTCAAAAGCATTTGGAACTACTGGATAATTCTCATTTTTACATAGTAGATCAAAAGCATCTTGGCCAAAGGGGTGCCGCCATATCTCACCGAATAGGAGGCTCACTTCTGTTCTATCACTGTTGCACTAAATTTTAAAATTTTATTTTGAAATAACGCCGTCAAGTCTACGCGAATGGGGAGCATGTGTTCCACACATGACTAATTATCTCCTCCAGATATCTTCAAAATTAACATTTTTGCACTGTTATATAAAATAAAGCCACTTTTATTGTCAATAATCTAAAAAGCCTATTATAAGTTGTATTTGGTACTTAATATAGACTCACTTGCAAAGCTGATATTTTCAGTGACAACATTGGTACTATAGGCGTTGTCAAGTATTGTTTAAGGGCGACCTCAAAAACATAGATAAATCATTTTCCAAGGGGTAGAAAGTGTACATAAAATGGCAAACCACCCAAGCAAATACTAATTTTTAAAAGTATTGCAAAATACTTCCGATACTCTTAATGTTGCATCCAACTGCTTAGAGCTTGGGAGAATATATCAAAATAGCTTCAAAATGTAAAGGTATTTGCACTATATCAGAGCAAGAGTTCGTGACACTGAGGAACATGTGTAGTAAGATTTTTCAACCAGGTGGACAGACTTTAAGTAAAAGGCCAGTTTTCTGACAGACTAGTGAGGTGCAATAAAACTGTCAACCAACCTGACTATTACCAGAAATTTTGCTCTTACTAGAATCTTGTGTCCATACCCGTGGCGTCTACACAAAGAAAAGGAACATTCTCACTTTTGTTATTATCGTTCTGTCACAGAGGCATGCAGAGGATAGCAATTTATCATGGTGTGGCTTCCCATATTTACTATCGGTTGGTAACGTTACCCATTTCTGTTATGCGTGGACAAAGTTAGACTTAGTTACCCAATTCATATTTAGAATTGAAGATAAGAAATTTGTGGCCATGTACCATAAATATCCTATTTTGGTATTGTATATAATATCCATTTTACTTATAAATTTGAAATTATAAGGTAATTTACAAGGAAACGGAAGAATCGCGACACAGGTGGCACTTTATATTGAATGTTAATTGGTCCCATAAATCGAATATGGATTGGAGCATTTGATATGCACGTCTTGGCCAAAACCATCGTAGCAGTAATTTGAAAGTTCCAGGTTTAAGAACCACATCAGAAGTTTGTTATCTCGCTTCCTGTTACTAGTTCAATTTTTCTATTCTACTAATTGGACCCAAAATTTCTTTAAAATTTGTGTGTGGGTGTGCTATTTTGGCTATTATACATCAATCTAGAGCTGAAAAACGCAAAAAAACAATGATGAAAAATGACCTCCAATAGCTCAAATAACTTTAGTTGCTCTGATATAATAAATGGGACCAAATCTTAATTAGCGATTCCAGAAACATGAACTTATGTCTTGTGATCCTGACGAACCAGGTAAATAAGGGTGTATTTGAATTATAAGAACCCCGTATCAGAGCCAGAATTGCAGAATTGCATTTACTCTAGTTTTGTGGTGAGTTGGTTTGTCAGCTGGCTGGCAGGCCTTTTGAAAATTAAATGGGGGATCGAAGGAAAAATGCCAAGATCACAGCAGAGGGATTTATTTCGCTACATGTAAAGCATAAATAAATACATATTTGTGGTCATTAAGAACAGGAGAAGATTGTAAAATCTCTTGTTGGATAAGTTTATGTTGTGAATTTAGGTTGTCGTGGTTAAAAGGGTGTTATTCAGAGGCAGGATGGACTTTGTTTCCTTCCACCTAGCTTTAACAGCTCAAGTTATAGCTCTCACTTTGTTATTTTTGTAGTAAAAATTATCTACTCATCTATGTTTTATGAAATTTTGTTTTAAATAAATTATTACCTTCGATAAATGCTAAGGCCATCAATTTTTCTTTTGCTTTTGACACACCAATATTAAGAACGCCTACTTTCTAGTTAATTGGGCAAAAGCATTCTACTGACTTACCTCGCCATGGTATGTACAACTATGCCTTGGCTAAGCTCCCATTTTACCAACGTCTCCGGGATTTGTGAGCATTATTCTAAATTGCAGTGAATCAGCAATAAATATGGTGCCATTCACGTCATCGACTAGCTTCAAAGTCCAAGAAAACAGCCTATATTTTAAATGAATTTGTTTCTAAATATAATTTAAAGCTGCAAAAAATGCTTTATTTACCAAAAGTGATTAAATCAGTCAGATAATGCTATTATTAGAGCCACTTTAAACTCAGCGTATCCTTTTAAGTATGCTGTTTAATATAACGGATAAAATTTTGCAAAATAAAAGCCCACAAATTGTTTAGTGGTAAAGGTTATTTATTTTTTAGAAAAATTCAAGCAGTCTTATGCGGAATTACAGTAACTTTTGAGCTACGCGTAATGGACTTGACTCACGATATCAGTGTTGCTTCTTCACAAAACCTCATTTTTGCTCCAGTGCTTAATTTCTTTCACAATGGCCTTGTAAAGAGTTAAACTGGAAAGGCAGTTTCATCATGGATGCTGGCTGAAAGGGCTGTATGACAAGTGACAGGGATAGCATGAGCAGAGTCCATGGCACTTCTGTGACGGAAGAATTAAGGAAGGGGCCTTAGGAGCTTGCGTCGGTTTGTGGAATGCATTCTTTCATGTTAGAATATTGGAACTAATATTAAGTAACAGTAATTTGTAAACAAACAATGAAAAATCACAGCTAAAGTATTTAGAAATTACGATTTTTTGTGATATTTAGTCACAATTCAGAAATACTGCTTCATAAAACTTCCTAATGGTTCCTTGTGTCTTGGTAAATTTGAGCCATTGCCATATTTTATTAAACTGACATCAATGTGCACAATTGGGGGTTGCCATCTTTACCTCGTAAAATTCTAAAAAATTATACCATTAAGTAAGCTACCACCCTGCGAACTTAGTAGAAAATAATCTTGTTATTTGTACAATAGAAAAAAATCAAGTTAATGTTATAGGACCGACGGAGAAGGATGTTACTAATCATACCTTGCTAGTTCATGCAGTCACCTGATCCGGATCCTGCTTCTGACGTTTATATCCTTGGTGCATAGGGGAGACATAAACTGGCTGCTACTATTTCTGCCCAATATACTTAATCCTCCGCCTCCTCTTTCTGATCCCTGCCCGTGAGACACACCGTTGCCATGCGGATGTGGTCGCAATTAGAGAAACATGGCGCCTATCTACACAGTCTTTCATGTACTGCCATAACGATTCGGTGGAAAATCTTGACTTAAAACACTTTTATACAGGTGGGTATTTCTTAAGCAGCAAAGAGTATCTCAACTAAAACTGTCGTCAATAATACAGAACTCGACCTTTCCACCTAGTCTTCATGAATGAGGGATGGAATTACTGGTGCAGTCATGCTTGAGACGTAACATTCACCATCAAAAAATGTGCACAAAGAGCTTTATCACCTGCTGCTTTTAATAGTTTGCTTCAGTTGTTATGGT